CCAATAAACAAACCAAAACAAACAAAATAAAAACCACTCTCGGACTAATAAAGGCTTTCTTATTTTCTTATTATTATTCTTATTTTTGTTTTTCAGTGGTTGCCACAGCAGATGAGCGCTTGATTTATCAAAGATTTTATGCTGGATAGGCTTCTTGACACAGTCCTCCCAATTATTCGGGCTTGGCACTGGCATTGAGAGTACATTAGCTTGTGTTCCCTGAGGCTGAGTTTGTGGCTACATGGTAACCTCTAATAGTTAAGCGGCTAACATTAATTTGTATTCTGGCCAGGTAAACATTTGTAACAACTGTTAAGAACTTCTTGTTCAAACAGGAGCATTACTGACTTTCACAATTCCTTCTAAAGTGTTGTTCATAATTGTGAATGCCAACTACTGTTAGTGAGAGGAGGTGCTGTGTGCCTGGCTGTCTACACCAGTGTTGTATTTGTCTCACCTGGAGGAAGCAAAGACAGCACTATTGGTATTGATTGTGTTATGAAAAAGTATCTAATCTGATATCTGTTAAATTTTAATACTGGTTAGTATCTGAGAATAATGTTTTGACAATCCTAATATTACGATTGTCTGTTGTTCTCCAAATACAAATTTGTCAGATTTTCCAAACTGGTGTTGTTCTTTTCTCTATAGTCTAAATGTGGTGTACTTTATTGTCTTTAGAACAACAACAGTGTCCGTCACTGTCCCAAGGGCTCCCAAATGGAATACTAGTTGTTTCATCTGGAGAAGGTGAAGACTACACAGTGTTGCTTATCTTTGTATACGCACTATTGTCTTATTTATAGGTTTATCCCCCAGAAAGAAATCTGCTGGCCTCTCAGCTTGCCTAGGTCCAGTTATTGTTAACCAGAGACAGATGGATAAAACGGAGTTAGCTACAAGTAAGTAAGAAACAAGCAGAAACTTTAGTGGCAATTGCAACCTTGGCCACAAGATGGCAGTAATGTACAGGATGGATACAAACAGAAGTAGCTTTATGCCAGCGTTGTCTGCGATGAAAGAAGAGAGACTGCTTTACTTTGGTAAATTTTAATTTATGTATATTTTTAGATATGACAGGGAAAGCACTGCTGGCCTTGCTTGTCCTGACGGAATGCCACTAGTTTTAATATTTCCTAATGTATGATGACAATCTGGAGACCAGGTGAACTTTTTGGGGGCACTTAACCGTTAAATGAGTGGAGCAACAGGGGAAAGGTTTTTGCAGAAATGTCTATAATAACCCACCAGCCCCAAGAAGTGCTGCAACTCAAACCTGGGTGAAGGCGATGGGAAAATAAGAATAGCTTGATGGGTTTCTTTGTCCACTCACCACTACCCACTATTTTACACATGTACACCACCGTAGCTCCCCCAAACTCACACTTCACAAATTTATGGTCAGATTTGCATCTGCCACCCTCTCAAACACTACTCGGCTGTTCAACATGCTCAAACCCACAAACCCGAATAAATCACCATATCATCTATATATGTTTTACAGCCTGGCACCCTAGTCTGTCATGGTTCTGGGTCCCCGTGTTTTTGATTTTTGTACTCTTATTTTTGATATTATGAATTATGACAGTTTGTGTTTTGGTTTCCCAGTGTTTATTCGGTGCTCCCTCTGTTTTCCATCGTCTCTGCCTGTGTATGCCTGTGTATCCCCTGTAATGTAGTCACGTCTCTGTGTTAAGCCCGTGTCTCTTAGTCTGTCTTTGTGTTTGTGTTTCCTGTTTTATTTTGATAGTCCGCGTCTGATCTCAGTGTGTTCAGTTTATGCTTCCTTGTCTCGTCAGTTCTGATTTCCCCCAGCTGTGCTCTCCTTTTGTGTCTCATTCCCCTCGTTACTTCCCAGTGTATTTCAACCCTGTGTTTCTCTGAGTCAGTGTCGTGTCGTCCCTCATGCTGTGTGGATCTCCCTGTGTCTCACTGTGAGTTTAGTTTGTGAGTTTCCAGTTTAGTTTAGTTTAGTTTTTAGTTTAGTTTGCTTTTGTATGACTTTCCCCTGCCAGCAAATAAAGCTGAGTTCTTTGTGTTTAAACCTCGTGCCTGAGTGCCTGCATTTTGGGTCCAACTCCTGCCTGCCACACAGCGATTCATGACATAGTCAAAACCAGGATGTGGCAGGTGCTTTGCGGACTCCAAAGGGTATAACTGTGTATTGTAGAGAACCGTCTGGCATCACAGTGCCACCTGCCAAGAGCCTTTTAAGAGGTCCAGTTTAATCACAAAAGCTGCTAAGCCAACACTGTTCCCACAATCTTCCAATTGTGGAAGAGGGTGACTTTGAGACACTGTTCCTGTTCCTATAGTCTGTATAAAAATGGCCAAAGCTATAAGACTTATTGGCTGTTTGGAAGGAGGAACTCCATGAGCTACAGCTAAATTCTGCAATACCATGTGCCAACATATAGTTGTTCTCCTTTTGTAAATGTTGTCACTTCTCTTAGTTCACTGTATATGGATGTTGTTTTATGAAGTAAGAAACCGCCAAATCTACATCATATGTTAACATATGCATTTGGGATTGCATGTCAGAGAACAGAGACCAGAGACCCGTGTGAATAAATAAGACTAATCATGTCAGTTTGCTGTGACCCACTCAAATGTTTAAAACATGAGTTAAGCTTTGCCAGAATCTAAGAATTATTTCAGTTGCCCTGTACCATTGCCATAGATGGTCCATCAGCATCACCGATTTTGTTATCTGCTGCTACAGGCATGCCGGTGGAAATGCTAGCACATCACATGCAGGTTGGTGGTGAGAAAATGACGTCAAAGCAGTTTTTACTTTGGCGACTACGTTTGAACCAGACAAATCATTGTTCAATATATGGTTTCAGCATCTTTATGTGACACAGTCTGCTTCGTCATTTGCAGTAGAACATGGCAATGAAGTAATAAGTGTCACAAAAAAAAATTTCTCCACTACAAAAATGCTGCTGTAATGTGCCAACAGACTAGTACTGGAAATGGGCACAGAAACTAACACTCTGTCACCTGGCTTTGGCTTCTTTCTTTTTTGTTAAACCAACTTTTCATCCTTTTTGGGACTGCAGCCAGATTGTGTTTTGCAATCTTGCAGGCCCAGCGGTGTTTAAAATGGAAAGCACTGACACAACCCAGGATATTTTGTTTTTTTTATCATTGTTAAGCCATTTCTCTTGCAGGAGTTTCAGAGGCCAATGCACAATGCACACGAGCAAACACAAGCTCAGCTGGGCTAAAGCCAAATGACTTGAACTACCTCCCGTTCAGCAATAAAATGAACCTCCTGTTTCCAGTCTTTATCAAACTCAAAACTGTATCCTTGGAACATGTTTGAATGTTTGATCAAACCTCCTGAGCGTGCGCTGGCTTTCAGGGTGGTATGCACTGCAATAATGCTGCTAATCAGATGCTGAGCTGATTAATCACCTGTGCAGAGAGTGTAAGTTGGTGCCTTGATCTTTTTGTACAACTGTTAGAAGGCCAAAAATATCTAAAAACTTTACTAAAGCCTTGAGCACTACAGAAACAGTAATTATTCCGGTGAGAACTGCCTCTGCAAACATAATTGATGCACACATCATCATCAGTAAAAACTTGTGACCAGCTTTGGTGTGCAGAAATGGACTGACACGATCCTCAAAAAAAAATTAAATGGAGTATCTAGAATTCAGAACAAAAGTTTTGCGGAATTACACTTTATATCATAACGCTTGGCTCATCTTTGCAGCTTAGACAGATGTTTTCAATGCTGCAATGGCAACTTTTTCAACTTGTATGAGTTGAAGCAGGGTTGTCTGAAGGAAGATGTGCTTACATCTGGTGTCACAAATCGGATAGTAGGAATGGCATTTTGCTCTCATAAGACCCTTTAATTGGCCAGTGTTTCCCATATGTATTTTCTAAACGCTGAAAGTAGAGCCATGGGGATGTAATCACATCTTTGCTTTTTAAACACCGAGACAGAAACTCTGCTCCTGTGGGACTTTTTGTTGTTATTATTGAGCAGAAAAGTTATTCTGGTATTTGGCAGCACAAATATTTAAAGGTTGTAAAGCAGAATAACAAAGAAACAGCGTGGCATGCCTTTGCTCAGAAAAACTTGTGCAATCTCTTGTTTAAAGGTTTTTTATTTTTTATTTATCTGGATTTATTTTTCTCTCAAGCAGGTCTCTGAAAGAATGTGAAGCTGGAGCTGTAGAGACAAGAAAGGTGTTCTTGCCACAGGAACCTGTACTACAGGAAATCTTCAAGGTCACTGCTCCAAAGTGGACCTGCCTGCAATGGTCAACCCTGCCCCAAGTGAAGGGATATTCCATGTTCTGGCTCAGCCTTCCGTTATCACACAGCCTGCACTGTCATTTGACTGTTGATTGTGTGATAATATCAACACTTACTTTTTCCACACCTCTTGTCACTGCAAAAATGGTGAGGGAGTCAAAGCCCCTGACTCTTTACAGTCACTGCTTTCTCTCTGTGCTGATGCTAAAGAGCTGCTGGCTGCAAGGTTCCACCTCCCAGAAGCCTGCTGTGTTAGCAGACTCCCAGCAGGGCTCACAGGAGTATACCCATTCAATCCGCCTGGATGGTGACATCATTCTGGGTGGGTTGTTCCCTGTGCATTCCCGTGGTGAGAGGGGGATGCCATGTGGTGAATTGAAGAAGGAGAAAGGCATCCATCGACTGGAGGCCATGCTATTTGCCATCGACCTCATCAACAAAGACCCAGACCTGCTGCCCAATGTGACACTTGGGGCACGAATCTTGGACACATGTTCACGTGACACCTATGCCCTGGAGCAGTCCCTTACTTTTGTCCAGGCACTAATTGAGAGGGATGGCTCTGATGTTCGCTGCGCTAATGGTGATCCTCCCATCTTTGCGAAGCCAGATAAAGTTGTGGGAGTCATTGGCGCATCGGCCAGCTCTGTATCGATCATGGTGGCGAACATCCTGCGACTGTTCAAGGTACAAGAATGCTGTGTGATTCCTTGAAGTTTTTGTTTGTTTGTTTTTAAGAATAATGCTTGGTTATAGCAGTGATTCGAGGAGGTTTGTGTATCGGTTTTTGGTGTTAGGTTGGGTCAGTCAACAGAAGTTTGTGGTTGTTGAAGTACTTCATTGTACCTCACCATACGCTTGGTAGTCCTAGTACTTGTAAGGACCAGTCTCTAAAGCCGTAAATTCTGAATATATATGTCGATAAATACTTGTATGAACAATCAAATGTTATTTAATTAATATTTAACAGCTTCATACACTGTCACTAACTCCATGACAACTCCAAGAGTTAGAAAGCTAATATTGTTATCTCAAAATAATGTTTAGAATCATTATTTTTACTAATGATTTTTTAACTGAAAGAACATTTATACCCATTAAGTTGATAAAGTAAATCATGTGTATATACAAGTAAGATACAGAATCTTCTGTATGTCAGTTTAATGCTAAATGTACTTGTTGAAAGCATGTAAAATATTTACATGTAGAGAGATTTATTGTGTCAATCAATCTGAAGTGTATTTTAAGATGTAAACATTGCAAAACACAAAAGTGAGGTTGTACACACTGTACACCTCAGTACTGACCTCAGTAAATACTTTGATAAGTTTATGGCCTCCATCACTAGCTTCAGGTCTTATCTAATAAATAATTACATTTATTTTCATAAATTGTGAATCCATCTAAAATTAAATCCACAGTTAATCAGGGTATGCTACTGGGGATGGCTGCCCTGTGACTGATGAGTTGCTACCATTTGCAATGCAGTGTCATGGTTCCTAAGATAATAAGATTCAGCCCTTGCTTGTCATGTCCACTATAAAAAAACAAGATACTTCTCATGAGATCTTTTATGTACAGCCTTTGGTCTTACAGTGTATATAAACTATCTGCCAGACACCTTTTTTAAAACCAGATATTATAATATCGCAACATCTTCATCTTTGGGAAAACGTCTGGGAGTATCCTGCAAAAAATTTGAATATGCTGACAAAAGCATCTTTAACCCAAAACAGAGGGACAGGTTTATGTTTGGTGTGAGAAGCAGATTACTGGGTGTTTTCACAGCCTGGCTAAATCTTCTGTTGACCTCCACACTGTGAAAAGTTTCACAGTGTGAAGAAAAAATCGACTTGTCAGCAGTTGTGGATTCAAAAAATCTCCAAGCTGCTTGAGTCAAGTAAGGTGAACATATTTTTATTTGAGACGATGCGCTGATTATATGAATAAACATTAGTGATGTGCCTGTACTTGGATATAAACCATAGTGATGTTAGTAAATGCAGAAAGCATATTTGAGTTGTTCAACCGATCGTGTTTAAAAAGCACAAGAAAATCTGACTCCTTGGGACCAAAATATTAAGAAACAAGGCAAAGAAAGGAGTCAAAACATTTGCACACTTCTGTATCTGCTAAAGATTTCTCTTTGCAAAAATCACAATTTAAGACATTAAAGTACAATTTAATTCTGTGATATTGCAATCATCTTCTATTCAGCCATGATCCATCGTGTAACATGTATGAAGTGGAAAGTTAAGCATTTACCTTTGTAAATTAACTTGACAATGAAGTAGGAGACATTTTCCTCTACTGTTTGGTAATTTACGAAGATAAATTTTATTTGACATGCCTGTCAAACAGTATCTTACAATACTGTTTCCCCAACTCTCTGTGAATGGTACTCATGGCCATTGATCAGTGGTTGTTGATCCATGGTCATGAGAATTTGCATATTAATGATCAGGGACCTAACCTCACAGTCCATTGTTCATTCAGTGGGCTGGTTTCCGTCATTGTGCAAATGTACTGTTTATAAGATTGGGGAAACCTGCAGTCAGCTGAGACTGAAGAAGTCCCTTGGATGAGGGACGAAACATTTCTCCTACTGAAAACGCTACGTCCAGATGAACAGAATCAACTTTTGGGATTTCCTTTCCTGGATTATTGAGCATGCATCACGGGATAAAAAAAAAACCCTGATTAAACATACACCTGTATTATTGGAAAATTGTACATAAAGTATCAAATAATAATTATTCTACAGAAAAATGTTCCCAAGCACCGTTAAATGGATTAATAATACTGTTGTATATGTTTAAGTTTGAGCTTGTTTTAAATACTTAACATTCTGTTAAATGTTCAGCAACATATTCTGGACCACATATCTCTATAAAAAACACCCAAAAAACCCATTAATGAGACATAGGCCTACATCTTAATTTTTGTTTGTTTGTTTGTTTTAAAGTGTAATATATTAAATATATTAATAACAAAAGAAAAACCAGCTTAATCAAAAACACTGAGCAGTGTGTGATATGGTATGATATGTTTAGAATAGAATAGAATAGAATAATCCTTTAATTGTCCCACAAGGGGAAATTTGGTTGTAACAGCAGCCAAAAAGACAAATATACAAACAAACAGTACTCAGGACACAGAACAGAAACATACACAATTTTTCTTACATATTTACATTAAAGACAGTGGTTACTATATACAGAGAGTACTGTACAGTTTTTATTAAATTAAATAAAAATAACCACAGATAAGAGGCAGACCAGGTTGTAGTGCGAATCGGTTAATTAACTTATTGCAGTTACAGCGCAGATGTAAACATCTATGTTTTTTGGGAGCAGTTCTGATTGTAAAATCCATTGTCAATATCTACAGGGGGATTCAAATCATTAATCTTAAGTTGCACTAATTAACAAAATTTTTACACTCCATCTTCTCTAAATTACACATGTTAGCTAAGGTGGTTAGCAAGTTGAAACTCATCTGTTCCCATAATAAATCACAATTGTTTACTTGCTAATGCAAATTGGGTTTCCATACATCATGTGGAAGGGAGTTGGAGACAGCTTGACTTGTATGCTAGTCTTGCATCGGTTTACCAAGAAAGATCAGAGGTTTATCAACAGTGTGCATGCATAAACCACCAGAAAAAAACTC